TTCGAAAAATTATATTTATTTAATGATTAAATGTATAAAAATTGCAATCAAAATTACGTATATAATTTAATGTTTATGTTAAAATGCAACCAAAAATAATGTATACAATATACTGATTAGACGTAAAAATGCAACCAAAATTAATGTATACAATATACTGATTAAACGTAAATTCTGTATTTTTTTGCATACGGAAAAGGATGATTTTCAGTATCTAATATACAGAAATATTTACAATAGACTATAAAATCTTATTAAAAATAACATATACAATATACTGATTTGATGTATAAAATTTAACAAAAATTACGTATACATTATACTGATTAGACGTATAAATTCAGTATATTTTTGTATATGAAAAAAGATGATTTTCAGTATCTAGTATATGGAAATATTTATGAATTTATTATACTGTTTTTTTACGTTTATTATACGTTTTTTAAAAGTATTATTTTCATATACTTTCCTTATACATATTATTTATAGGGAAATAGATACAATTAAATATTTGAGTTTAATTTGATTTGATTTAATTTAATTTTGAGGAATCCTAATTAATATATTTAATACTTAATTAGATATTATTTATTTAAATACTCAAATTTGATTGGCTAATCAGAGGTCACTATAGTGATACAGATCACCAGTTACATTTTTCCTTACTTTTAATTATTAAGAAATTTTTTAATTAAAAAGTTATTTTATAATTTCTTATATAAATTTTTAAAATGATCATTAAAATTTAAGTATATAATAAATAAATTAAATTTAAATCAAAATATATTTTTTTAATTATAATTTATAATATTAATTTATGTTAAAATTAAAGTTTAAATTTAAAAATTTAATTAAAGTTAATTTATCATTAAAAAGCTATTCTATTTATATAAATTAATAAAATTTATATTAAAATTATAAGTAAAATATAAATATAAAATATATAATAAAATTATTTATACAATATATATTATAATTATAAATATTTATTAATTTTAAAATGATTTTAAATTTATTATTCTTTTATTAATCATCTATACTTTAAAAAAAATTTTTTATAAGTTAATTTTTTATTATTTATATTTAAAATTTTTAAGTAAATCATAAAATTTCAATAAGTTAGTATTAATTATTTAAAGTTTAAAATATATATAAAAAAAAAATTATTATTAACTTATACAAATACTGAAAATAAAGATTTATATATTTTTTTATATTAATATATAAGAAGCTTATTAATATAATTAACTTTAAATTTAAGCTTTAAAAAAATTAAAAATAATATATTTAAAAAGTATTAATAATGTTGAGTATACATTAACTAAAAACTTGCAATACTTGTTATTAGAAAAAAAAAATCATAACCTTGTATCCTGAAAATTATTGCTATTGATTTGTTAAATGAAATAAATGAAATGATTACGAATCGTTTAGAAAATATATTATAATCCTTGCTAATCACTTACTATTAATTAATTATGTACCTTTAGGATGTGTTAATTAATAAATAGTAAATTCTTTCTTGTAAAAACCTCTCAAATTTGAGTTTTCGCTATATTAATTATGAAGTAATAATAAATTTATTATCAGTATAAGGTGAATTTCCTAAATGATATTCGCCCCGGATCATGTGATATTATATTTAATAATGTGTTATTATAATATCACATGATCGGTGTGTTAACCAACCGTTATAGTTAAAATAAATTATCTGATTCTATAACGATAATATTTATTGGAATTGTTTGTAAGGACTCAGGCCATTTTATGATGTACGAATCATGCGATAAATAGTTCTTGTAACACGGTAAATAACAAATAATGTTTGTTCGGAAAAGTAAATGCCCACCACTAATGATGTTGGAAAAAAATTTAATCTAATATTTTGTAAATCATTTTACGAGAAACGTTATACGAAAAATAATTTATTAAATCGTTAATTCTTTGTTTTGCATAACCAAATTTTTTTTTTTTTTACACTTATTGTCATTTTTACGGGGAGTTTTGTTTCCTATCAATTGATTCATGCAATTTTCTATACTCGGCTTCTTTTTCTAGAGCCTTCTTTGGTGTTTCGTTCTTAACCCTTTTTATTTCTTCAATTTCCTCTTCAACTGACCTGTTAATGGATCGATGCGTTCTTTTATTCGGTGTTATGTCATGTTCTCTTAGATATGTAAATAAAATCTTTTTTTTTTAAAAAAAAATAAGAATATAGTTCAACATAAATTATTATATATAATTTTTTACGAGAAGGTTACTTGTACCTTTTCAGCTGAAGTGGGCTCAATTTTCAAATCTTTGAAGGTAAGAATATTTGGATCATCTGAAACAATGTTATCCTTACGAAGGAGTTTGACTTGATCACGTGTAAGAGTGAATAAATTTGGTGGTAACTTTTCAAGAAAGAATCCTTGAATCATACCCATTGTCCAAGGTAAGGAAATGATTGGACGTCTTACCCCTGCTTGGTCAAGTGTCAATTGCATAATTTCTCTATACGTGTACACTATGCGAAATAATATAGTCGAACATAAATAAATAAAACTGCAGGGATGACATGAGCATTAGATTCATTACCGTCAGGACCTCCAAGTTCGAACGTTTTACCGTGAAACTTCGGATCCGAACTTGATTTGACTATTGCATTGGCTATGTCCCAAACGTAAACCGGTTGAAATTTTGTTTTTCCTCCACCAAAAACCGGCATGAATGGCAAAACTTTCGTTATTCTCGCGAATCTCTAAAAAGTGAAAAAAGATCTCATTTATAAAGATTTTATCAATCATTTCATCAATGATACCCACGTTAAAAAAATCATCCTCTGGACCAAATACTATACTTGGACGCAAAATGATTGCATTGGGACAAATTTCGCGCACGGCAATCTCACCTAGGGCTGAAATCGTGTTACACCAATAAACCAATCAAATTCCCACCTCTCTTTGAAAAAAAAAAGTAAAAAATTAATAGACAAAGCTTTACCTTTTGTTCTCGCATATGGAATGTCACTATTTGGAACAGCTCCAATGGCACTAACTTGAACCAATTGTGCGTTATTTTCTTTAGCAGCAATAGCAACATTGCGTGATCCAAAATGGTGAACGTTTTCAAAAGTATAAGTTGGAGGACGTTCGTGCATAATACCAACAAGGTTTACGATAACATTCGCCCCTTCACACGTTTTTAAAACATCCGATCGAGAAGTTATGTCACTTGAAACAGGAGGTAATATTTGATTTCCTATAATGTACCGTTAAGATTTTTCAAAACAAAAGAAAAAAAAAAGGTAATTTTTTTTAAAAGTGAAATTCTTTCTGTTTACCTAGCAATTGAAGTTCATTGACAACTCTAGGATTTCTTGCACCCAACTCAATAGAAGTACTAGCGTCTTGAATAAAGGCTTTAGCAGCGTATTTGCCTGATATTGTAATAGAATGCAATTAATATAAATCAACATGATTCAGGTAAATATTTCGCAATTACCAATAAACCCGGATCCTCCAATGATCACAACTTTTTTTACTTTAGAATCTGTGACAAAGCCTCGAATGCATATTCTGCTTGACATGCTCAACATTTTTTTTTTTAATCATGTGTAAAAAAAGATCACTATAAAAAAATAAAAAAAGCAATAATTTAAATACATTTTTGTTTACGAATGGTGTCACACAGACCACCAAACTAAATTTGATTTGAATGAAGGACATTGTCACATGATATGCTTTGAATTGTCAAAAAAGTATCACCGATATTAGAAAATGAAATATACAACCCATTATAGTCGCTAATTGAGGCAAAAAAATACAAAACTATATAAACATTAAACGCATTCGATACCTACTGTATATGATACCACCGTGTATGAGCTTTGATTTTTTATTAAAATTAGAAAAACACAAGATTGTCCCGTCCACGCGGTAAGAATAAATTTTCTTTATTCGCAATTTTAAAGAAAGATTAAAATTATTTTTTTTTCAAAGGGATCTTCAAAATATTTTCGTTTAACCCGAAAAATTTGAATTATTAAACAAAGAATTTTCCCCGACAAGAAACTTTATGTTGGGCGACATTCAATATTTTATATAATCGAAGAATGTTTATAATTTATTACTGCAGTATTACGTTTGAATACTTTCATTGAATGTTTTTTATTTGTTACATTTTACATTCCTTCTTCGATTTAACATTTTTATTCGGTGTGATGAACATTCTTTAGTTATTTTAAGGATCAAAATCCGACAATGTGTCACATGAAAAAAAAAAAAAACTTAACTTGCAATTTCATACTATATACCATAGATACCATATATATAACTATCCATCTAGACTAGATTTAACCTTTTTATTATAAAAAGAAAATTTTTTACTTCCAAAAATCTGACAAATTCAATATTTTTTATTTTTATTTTTTGTTTTTTTAAAAAAAATTAGGAGATTTTTACTATTTCTATTTTTTTTCTCTCAATAAATTATCTAAATATTTCTTTTGTCTAAAACCGTCGTTAAATAAACTTCTTTTCAAGAATTTACAAAATTAGTTTACTTCGTTAAATTTATTTTTAATTTTTCAAACAAACACAAAACAGAACGAATTTCTTTTATTTATCCACTGGGCGGGTTTTTAACGTTCAACTACTTGCAACAAAAAAACAAAAAAAAAACAAAAATAATAATATTTACAAAAAAAAAAAAAAACCCTTATCATAAGAATGAATTCACCTACAAGCTCAGTCAATAGCTCTTGTATCAGTCTTGAAAAGAATAAAAAAGGGCCACGACAAAGCTCATATTTAAAATCTCATAAAAATTTATCATTTTCTTTCGTTGAAGGTTTAGATACTTTTCAACAAGGATACCTTGGGGATAATGATACCTTCCTTGTTGGAACATTAAATTTAAATTATCAAAAACCATGTCATGTTAAAAGTATTTATTTAAATTTCAAAGGGACTGAAAAAACCACATGGCAACGATCACAAGCAAGGTCAAAATCCATTTATACGGGAGAATACCCCTTGGTCGATCAATCGAATAAGATATGGGAAGCTTTCAACGATACCGAAGAAATCACAACACTTGATATTCCTTTCAAAATTCAAATTCCTTATAACCTTCCAGAGACAATCACAACTGAAATTGGAACGATTCATTATCAGCTTCGCGCTACAATTAACACAAAATCCTTGATTGGAACGGCACAACAATTAATAAAAGTAAAGTGTCCTATCAAAAGGACTATCATATTGGATAATCAACAATCACCGCCATACAAAATATTGGGAGAAGTTCCCAATGGTATTGATTACACTTTCATCTTACCGCCAAACAAAAGTTTTAATTTAGGCACTTATGTATCAATTCCAATGAGAATGAAATTTTTGCAAGCCAATGTCGGTATTGAAAGGATCGAGGTTATTCTAAGAACTTCAATGAATTTTCATTCCTCGTCACAAGGAGAATCAAAACACGTGGATCAACAGATCGTGGGAATGATAGTTCCACGTTCCGAATTACAATATTATCAAGGTGAATGCACGTACACCATCAATCTATTTGTACCAAAGAATGTTCAACCAACATATCAAGGTAGATTCATATCAATAGTTCATTTCCTTAACATCAAATTCTATTTATATGGATTCGACGAGAGTTATGATGTTGAAGAAAACGTTAGAATAGCTCACATACTTGAAAATCATCCCATCAATTCTTCATCGCATGTACCAATCTCACCTCAAGCCACAACATCAATTCCACCAGAACATATATCAACTCCATCCCCAATACATCATACGCATTCACAATATTCCAAACTTTCCCAACAAAGTTTCGATCAAGTGAATCGTGGTTTCGAAACTTTTAATAATAATCCTTTGCAGATATCATTGAATCATCCCAGGAATTTATTTGATAAACCTTTTGATGGTTATAATGCTATACCACAATCATTAAATTTTAACCTTTCCCCATATGACATCCAGAGACTTGACAAGGGACTCTATCGACCAGATCATCCTTCTATGTCATCTGGAACTTCAGTCTCGTCATATGCTTCATATGATACAACTAATTCATCAATAAGTGGTGAAATAACGAATGATCAAACTATTTATCCAACTCAATTGTCTCCGCCACCTTATCGACAACCATTAAATGATCCAAAATAAATTCTTATCTTTTCTTTAACATATACATATAATTATTTAATTCTGTTAATTTGTAACAATTATTTTTTTTATCATTATACTATAAAATTTGTTATTATATATTTTAAGGTATATTATATTTTTTTTTGATTAAATTTGATTTCATTCAAATGTATCACATAACAAATTTAGACCATTTTGTGACAGGCGCACAAAATTTTATAGAATATTCTTTGTGTTATATGTTTGCCAAAAAACAATACGCATTTTGAAGATATTAGTGATATTCGTGGTCAAACAATTACACATGACAAATATCAAAATAACCAATCATTATTTTGTGTTCTGAACAAACAGTGGGGTTCAATACCAGTTTAATATGGTCATTTATTCCGATTGTCTCATTTTTTTTATTTGTCAAGTTTATATGTAGAGAATTCTATTACGAGTGCATAAATGGGGAGTTTCTTCAATATTATTTACATAATTCATAGTAAGATTGACCATGTACCAAAATAAAAAATCAAAATGGATTACGGAATCCGAAATCTCGTATTATCAAAGTTGCTTCTTTCCGATATCAACCTATCTTTCAAATTGAAACTTGTTCAGAAATGACCAACCTAACGTAATCAAAACAAAGCTTCAAATCACGTTACGGATATGGGATTTCGTGTCTCGTTAATCAAATTTTCAATCGACTATACGCAGCAAATAAGTTCAGGGGTAAATTTGTAATTTATATGGTCACAAAATATAAATCTACGTTCTCTTTGCAGCAGTAGCAATTCAAAGTTGGATGGGTTACCTTTATTTTTCCCGAACAAATGTGACCGGAGGAAGAAAAATGTGAAAGAGATTCTACTTGCGGTAAAGGGACTATTCCAAAAGTAAATAATGACGACAAAACCATACGTAAATTCGAGATCGCCAGGCGTTGCAGGGAAGATCTCCATGGGAAGAGGTACGAAAATTTCATGTCCACTCATTGCGTTCATGTCTAGAGAAAATAATCTATTTTATTTCTTAATCTCTGGCTTCGAATGTAATTGAGAAGATGAATAATTGCCTTCTATAGAAGAAAATCATGTATTTTTTTTCTTCCGCAGATCAAAGATCAAGGAGGGGCTTTCTTGGCATCATACGATAAAGCGAATCACTCATCTCTTTATCTTTTTCCCAGCAATATATAAAGCATGCAGGAACTCGTGGAAGTTCAGCTTCTTGCGAATTGTTTTTTTTCGCTTAGCTTTAGCATTATTTTTATTCGAACCCAAGCAAATTATGTCTTCTTCTACCTCTATTTCTTATCCGGTGTTAGTTAAAATATTTCGGAGACATAATACTGAAAGGCTAATCAAATTTTACGAGATGAAGAAAAGTTTAAGAGACATACCTTTTGACGAGATCTTTTTTGAAAAACTTCGTGAAGAAAAAATCACCGGTCATTATTTCTCAAGTTAACCAGACAAGAATTCAGAGAATTTGAATGAAAATAAATGAAAATAAGAATAACACCTGCATTGGAGCTCGAGGAGTTTGTTAAAAATTTAGGTAAGTATAATATCTACACTCTTTTTCTGCAACGATATAATTATCTAAATATCCGATGTACCACTAGTCCAACCTCGATCACCAGAAGAAGAAAACCCTTCTGAAGTTACTGACGTCCTTGATAATGTAAAATAATAAAATAAGTTAGTTTATAGGAAGGGGGTGAATTTTTGGAATCGTTTTACCTGACAAATTTTTTCGCATGATATGGGGTTGAGGGAATGTGGAGGATCGTATGCTTTGTAATAATAGTGTCTTAACATTTACCCTTCGATCTTTCGATCATCAGGGGAAGTTGATTACATTTTTTTTCGGGAATTTTTTTTCGTAGATATATTAACTTCCCTCCCGAAATCTTTGATTGGGGGGTGCTCAGCCTGTAAGGTGCCTCCGGCAAAATAATAATATAAAAATCAGTTATGGAATAATAATTTTTTTCTTCGAATTTTTTTTTTGCGTGTTACGTCACGCATGATCAAACACCTGATTTTCTTGATACGCGTTCACGTGAAATGATCAATCGTTTTTTTTTGATGCGCGTCCTTTTTTAATAATAAAATAAACTCCGCAAATTATATAATACTATTTCGTTCCATAATTAAATCTTTGCGTAAAAATTCCAACTCCTCTCTCTAATCGTTAACTTCTTTATTAAAGACTTTGATATTTCCTCTGTAGAATTCTAAAATTTTCATTCTATTAATCCAGTCAACAACTGCCAGAGAAGCTTTGGTTGCAGCCATTCATGAATTTGACCTTGGCACTTCCTTAATTCAGTTAAAAACTGCTATAAAAGCAATATATTTTAAATATGCCTAATGTTGCAACTATTCCAGAATTTTGACCTTGGCATTTCCTTAATTCAGTCACCAACTGCCAGAGAAGCTATATATTTAGAAAACCCACTAAAAACCATTTCCGAAAGGCTAACCTTAATGTATTCCTAAAAAAGTAAAGAAAAAATAAAGAAATCAGTTAGAAAACCCACTAAAATCACTCTGATTTACTTACCTTAATGTATTCATTCCTAAAGAAAGTAAAGAAAAATGAAAAAAAAGGTTAAAACCCATCCAAAAGACCTTCCAAAAGGCTTACTTTAGATTTGAAAAGAGAATTTTCCTAAAAAAATCAAAGAAAAACAAAGAAAAAGGGTTAAAAACATCCAAAAATCACTTCTGAAAGGCTTATCTTAGTTTCAAAAAGAGAAATTTCCTAAAAAACAAAGAAAAATAAAGAAAAAAGAGTTAAAACCCATTTAAAAGTCACTTTGATTTGCTTACCTTAATTCCTAAAATAAGAATTTCCTAAAAAAATAAGAAAAAAAAAGGAAAAAGTTAAATTTCTACCCAAAAATAGCTTTATTATAAAAAAATAAAAAAATATTTATTCAAAATATTTTGAAAGTTTATCAGTTTTATATTATAAATTGAACTAAAATTTTGATTAATCTGAAATTTAGATATTATTTTTTACTTATCATAAATGTTTCAAATGGATGATTTTGTATTATTTGATTGAAACAAACAATATAGAAAACCTTTTAAAAGGAATAATAATTTGATTGTTCCTTGAGAATGATAATAAAAATAGTTCAAAAGGAATAATAATTTGATTGTTTTTTAAGAATAATATAGAAAATTGTTTGAAAGAAATGATAGTTTGATTGTTTTTTAAAAATAATAACAAAAATCATTCTAAAGGAATAATTATATCATTTCAAAAAAATGATAAAAAAAAATTTATTTTTCAAAACGATGAAGTATCGTTCTGAAAGAATAATAACAAAAATTGTTTCTTAAGAATAATGAAAAATGATGATGAATCATTCTATCAGAATGATAATGACATTATTCTAAAAAAAATGATAAAAAAATCTTTCTAAAAGAATAATAATGTATTATTCTAATAGAATGATAAAAAAAATCATTCTTTTAGAATGATAATGAATTATTTTTTAAGAATAATAAAAAAAATGTTCTTTTAGAACGATAATGACATCATTCTAAAAAAATGATAAAAATACTTTTTTTTGAAATGATAATGAATTGTTTCAAAAGAACAATGAAAAAAATATTCTTTTAAAAACATTAATGTATTGTTCAAAAAAAATAATAAAAAAATCTCATTTTTTCAGAATAATGATACATCATTTTTTTGTGAATGATTTTTATCGTTTCTTTGAAAATAATAGTTTATTTCTTTAAAAACAATTTTTATTATCTTTTTGGAAACAATAGTTTATTTCTTTTGAAATAATTTCTATCATCTTTTTTAGAATGATTGTATCATTCCTTTAGGAATGAATGTATTGTTTCTTTGAGATGATTCTTTTATCTCCTTAAAATGAATATATCATTCCTTTTAAGATGATTTCTATAGTCTTTTTAAGAATGATTATAAATTGATTTAACTGATTTTGATCAGTAAGATACAATCGATTTGTTACTAAATCTTGAATTTAACTGAAATTTTGCTGAATATTATAACTGAAAGGCATTAGTACTGAAATAATGCTAAATTATGTGTGGTGTGATAAATTACTATCGATTTTTGTAATTCAAGCCAAATTTTTGCCAACTCACATGACCAAATCAACTGAATGTTTGATGAAAAATTTTAATGCTAAAATAATGCTAAATTATGTATAATATAACAAATTACTATTGATTTTTATAACTTAAGCTGATTTTTTTCTGAATCACATGACTGAACTAGCTGAATGTTTATCAAAAGGTATCAGTATCTAAATAATGCTAAATTATGTGTGGTGTGATAAATTACTATTGATTTTTGTAAATCAAGCTAAAATTTTGCCAAATCATATGACTGATCAGCTGAATATTTTCCAAAAGGTATTAATACTAAAAAAATGATTTCAACTAATACATCATAAAAAAAACTATATAATTCAATATAAATAGACAGATTCAATAAGCTAAATATCATTGATTTTAAATCAGCCAATATTAAGATAATTATAATTAATTATTAGCTGAAATTATAATTCAATAATTCTCTTTAAATAATGGGATTCAGATTTTTGAAATATGATTAAAACTATTATGAGATTATAAAATTATAAAATATTGTCAATGTTAAAAATTGACCTTATTGTGCAAATCATCAGTAACTAATGAAATAATGATATAATAAGCCTGATAAATACTGTGTCAAATAATCTACAAAATTATGAATTTTTCTAATTCTTAGGATCCATAAAATTCTTAGAATTCTTATGATTCTTAGGATTTACTGAATTTATATAATTATCAGAATTCATTAGATTTTCCTAATTTTCAATATTTCTATTATTTTTATTATTATTATTATTTCTATTATAATTTAATTATTATCTCTGTTATTTTTATTATTATCATTATATTAGTACTTGTAGTTATAAATTTAGTTAGTTTATAGCATAGCAACTAGTTAGTCATAGCAAATTAATTTTTTATAAATAGAATAACTTTTTACTTAAATTGTAAAATAACTCTCTTGTAAGTTCTTAAACAATTATGAGTTTCAAGTAATAAATAAAGGAATCAACTTTAAAATATACTGTATATTGCAGGCTATAGTATCCTCCCATGTATTGTATCCCCCTTTTTTTACCCTAAAAAAATTACATTTTCTATTATTTTTATTATTTAGAAATCTAATTTTAACCAGAAATTATGCATTAAACAATTTTCTGATTGTTATACAAGCCTTTAACACATTCTATTTCTGTATTTAATAAATATTATAGACTTAGTAGTATAAGGTCAATCATCCAAAATTTGCAAGATACTGGTATTATGACTCGCAATATACAGTAATTACTTTTCACTTCTATGTGTTTATTATCTAGGATTTGATTGTAAACTTTTATACTAACTTGCTTTTGAGTTTGTCACTTAGAATAAATAAATTCTTTATATTTCTCCTAAGTTTCTAAACCTTTAAGTTTGTAAAATCAAGTGAATTACAAGGCATTTTGGATATTATAAGACATGAGATTTCCTAAAGTTGTAAAGTCTGATGATAAGAAACTTATTTGCTACAATAAAGTGAAATATGTGTGAAAAGAGAATTATTCTTAGTAATAACGTTAAAATTATTATAAAATTAAAAAGAATCAATACTCAGACACTCTGTTTAATAGTTATAGTTCATAAGAATTACATATTAATATTTAATAATAATGATAATATTCTCTTTTTCTAATTGACATAATAATAATCTATGAGTATCCTATATGAATTTGTTTAAAAGTTTATTTAATTATTAGAGATTACATCATCGATAATATCTCATAAAGAAACACAAAGTTTTTTTTATCAGATTCTTCATATATTATTTATCATTATCTGCTTTGTCAATATCTTTTCGATCTTTCCTTAAGTGAACTAAATTTATTTTGAATATATGACAATATACTGGAAAAATTGTCAAAAACTTCCAGTTAGTTAAGGTTGCTACTATCATTAAACAGCAATAACATTTCTATAAACAGACTTTTCAGACATTTGTCTATAATAAATAACCTTTCTATACTTTTAACTAAGCTCTTCAATTAATTATTCAGATATATGACAAGACTTCTGCTTTTTTTTTATCCTTTCACTCAAACCTAAACCTATCCAAATATATTGATATTTTCATTATATCTTAACTCTAAAATCCATTTAGAATAACTAAAACATTAAAAACTATAACTTTTTTAAAAGTTTTTAATCTGAATCTTTATATGAAAATGAGGATGATAATTCTATATATGATGAGAATTATAAACCATATGATACTATTATAGCTAATATTACTTCTAGTGATAGGAAAACTACTAATCTAATATTAAATTTTGACTTTTCTTATAGAAATTCTGAATCAGAACAGTTAAATCTATCTTCTTCTAAATCAGAACTAAGGTTGCTTATCTAAACTCATTTTAGATTTAGCTAAATGTCTAAACCTTTAGTTTTGCTAAATTTTTTACTAAGTGTTTATTTAATTAATATAGTTTCATTATTTTTATATGCTTTAATATAGTTTTATCTTTTTCTAAATTTCGCAGATTTTTTAATAAAGTTTTAATATAATTTAACCAAGTTTTACTTTTACCATTTAGACATCTATCTGAACCCTGAATTTTGTCTAGCAATCTTTATCAGCATAATTAAATTTACCTCCTTCTAAATCAAGAAATAAGAATTTAATATCTTATTATAAGGATATTAGTTTTTTTTGTCTCTCTTAATTCAAATTGAATAAATCATAAAGTTCTGTTAAAAATGAAAATTTGAATCAAAAAAGTTAGATAAAAAGAAAAGAAAACATTATTTTTCTTTTTATTATAGCTCCTTCTTCTCATCTAGTTAAATTCTGAATATAATAGTTTTGATCCTAGTAGATCAAAGGATAATTCTTTGATCCTAATAATACTTATACCTAAAATGATAAGACCTTTTTCAAATAATGTGAGGACTCCAAACTATCTTAAAATTTATTAGTTTTAATAGAATAATAAGAAGCAAAATTTTATATTTTGATAATATAATCATCTTCTCAATTACTTTCGATAAATATCTGTAGCATTTACAATTGATTATTTAAAACATAGTGTAGGATTGTTAAATCTGTATCATATCTGTATATTTTCTGTCTGTCATATTATATATTGCATTCAATTAAATTTCATAATCAGTTATATCACAATTTTTGTTTTGACATATTTGATATGTGTAATTATAGATGTTGTGTAATAATATCAAGTATGCTATTTTAATGCATTTATTTTTAATAATAATAAATTTATTTATTTAACAATAGTGATAGATTCT